TAATGATTTTATACATAACATGTTTCCAGGGGGAATGGCGAATATAATGAATAAAATAGATTGACCTGAAATAATGATAAACCTGTATAAAGTAAGCATTTTTAAATCTGTTAGTTAACTCTAATTTTTAATCTGTTCGTTAATTTTCAAATCTGTTCGTTAACTCTAATTTTTAAATCTGTTCATTCACTCTAATTTTTAAATCTGTTCCTTCGCTCTAGTTTTAAAATCTGTTCCTTCACTCTAATTTTTAAATCTGTTCGTTAACTCAAATTTTTAAATCTGTTCGTTAACTCTAATTTTAAAATTTGTTCGTTTTTTATTATTGAATAACGACACCAAAAAATTTAAACAAAATTCTACACTAAACTAATTAATTGTTTAAGAACAGGTTGAGAAAATGAAAATTAATCTTATCATCAAAAATAAGTAATCTTATTCAATTATTAGTTTCTATAATCTCTTAAAGAATTTGTGCACAACACTGCATACTCAGTTTAACTACCTTACATAGCCGGTCACTCCCTTTAACTCTAATTTTCTAATTCCTATATAATGGCATCCGGATTCCAGATGTCTTAGACCTTAGATATTTTTTTCATGGATTCTTTTGGATCTAATTACGCTCATAAAGCGCAAATTTGTTGTGTAAGGAAGTGCAGCAAAAAAAATGCGCCAATTGCTGCTGAATAAAATGTACGCCTAACCTTTAATATGCTCCTTTGTTTACATCAAAATATAAATTTAGCTTGTCATGGTGTCAATTTTTTGTGTGATCTCGCGTGGCCCCAGGTAAGGTTTATGGATGATCGAATTTTCAAAAATTTACCTCTGAAAAGGTTCTCTTTTTGAAAATTTGAAAATCCACGAATTATTTTTTAAAAATCTACGAAATTTGTTTGTTTGTTTTACAATGTTTACAAAGAGCACATTTTCTTTGTTCACAATTGAAATAGAAGATGGGCGCAAAGCACCCTAAAATCATAGTATATACATATTTCATATATTTGTAGAAAAGCTCTTGCCATTAAACATCGGCCTCGCTTTAGGGGTTTCACAATGGTAAAACAAGGTTTCTTGTCATTTTCCTCAAAGAAAAAATATTAGGCTTCTTTATTCTTCAAGTCACGATATCCTCATCGAATAGGGTTGGATCAAAAAAGGTTTTCAGATTGACTAGTATATCAATATAGTTATCATTATTAATAACAATCTGCTTCTAAAGTATTAAAATATTTCTTAACATTTTTTCACCTCTTTTGCACTGTTAAGTAGTTACTTTTTATGAAATATAACATGATTATTCAAAATTAAGTGTTTCTGGAGAAAATATTTAAAAAACCTCCAAAAATAGAGGCTGTGGGAATATTTACCCCCAATTCTAAAAAAAATGGAGAAGGTAAGTTAAATATTTATCGTTTACATTACAATAAATATAACTGGTGGTGGATTGTCATTATTTTTTGACGATAAACTAACAACTGTTAGAGCTAAAAATTAAAAATTTATTTGTTATGTTGAAAAAATAAAATAGGTTTTAAGGGTTGTGAAAAGAATATAGGTTCTACACAAGACGGCGCTTTAAGCATCTGTTTCATTCGCGCCGATTTTAACCTTAAAATTTAGTTTATCATAAAATAGAACTCCTGAAAGTATTACATAAACAATTGTTTGGAATTTTTCGCAATTTTTTTTCGTAAACCCTATCGACATTTTGTTACTAATTTCGAAATGGTAACTTTCGGTGAATTATAAAATATTTTTTTTTCACCCCCCCGGGCTGTTTTTCATAGGAACAATTTTAGCATTTAACTTTTTAATTCGTCATTTATCCGATAAGCAAAGATTTTCAGTTAAAATTGGCGCAATTAAAATAATAATTAATGTCGACATTTTTTCACAAAATTTTATTTTGTCAGTTGCCACAAAAAATTTGGGCTCGATCGGTTCAGCTGTTTTTACGTCTATTGGCCTTAACTACCAACAAACAGACAGACAGACAAACAATATGTATATATTTATTTATAAATTCATTCTATTTCTAAATAAAGAAAAACATGGTCTTGTTAAATAATTCTATTGATTTCTTTAATATATTTTCTATCACATGTTCAGGTCTGATGATATGGAATGGTTTTCTAGAAAAAGTAATTTTTTTTCTGAATAACAATTATTATCTATTTAACTATAAGCCTGATTTAATCACATCGTTTTTTTTGCGCAAATTAAGTTGTCAAAATTACAGTGCCAATATGGGAATTTAATTACAGTGCCAATATAGGAATTTAATTATAGTGCCAATATAGGAATTTAATTATATAGTGCCAATATAGGAATTAAATTACAGTGCCAATATAGGAATTTAATTACAGTGCCAATATAGGAATTTAATTACAGTGCCAATATAGGAATTTAATTACAGTGCCAATAAAGGAATTTAATTGCAGTGCCAATATAGGAATTTAATTACAGTGTCAATATAGGAATTTAATTACAGTGCCAATATAGGAATTTAATTACAGTGCCAATATAGGAATTTAATTGCAGTGCTAATATAGGAATTTAATTACAATGCCAATATAGGAATTTGATTACAGTGTCAATATAGGAATTTAATTACAGTGCCAATAAAGGAATTTAATTGCAGTGCCAATATAGGAATTTAATTACAGTGCCAATATAGGAATTTAATTACAATGCCAATATAGGAATTTGATTACAGTGCCAATATAGGAATTTGATTACAGTGCCAATATAGAAATTTTTATTTTACCTTTTATTTAGGTTTCTCATGAGATTAAAATAAAATTTTAGATAAATTTTATTATTCTTTAATTCGGACTATATAGGATGTGACGAAACCTGTATTACTTGGCTCAAATTATAGATAGTAAATTCAATAGCTTTTACATTAAAAATATTTCAAGAATGAAATTTGAATAAATATTCTGTAAGTGCGCTTTACAACAAACATAAATATAATTTTTAATATAGACAATATAGCATTAAACTCAAATTTGAAACAAACACTCAAATTTTCTATTTCCTATACCTTTGCAACCTGATGGTTTAAATCTTTTATAATTTAATCTAGACCTTAAAGAATTCATAGTTTAGGTCTACGACATTGGGGTTAAAAGATATAGGGATTAGAAAATCTAAGTTTGATGGCAAAGACTCAATTCTTTTACTAAGAAAGATTTTTATTAGATTTGCTTGAATGGACTGTGAGCTGTTTTTTAAAGGGAATTTAGACGACATCTTGAGTGACCCGTCATTTATAGATATGCATGTCTGATTCACAAAAATACCCTTTAAATGTTTATCTTCTCTAGAAGGGCGTAGATGTAACATTTTTTGAGAATTTTTGGAAATTAGAGCGCGCACTGGTACAGTACCGTAATTTCAATTTTGTTTGTTCTCAACCAAACATGTAAATCCATAAATGGTTCGTCACTTCAAATTAACTCACCACTAATTAAATTGTTGATCACAGTCCCTTTTTAAAGAATTGGTTTTTAAGGGTCCACTTAACAATTTACAATGCTCAAGTGCATACAACAAATTTACGAATAAGAGACGAATATAAAAAAGAGGCTTTACAGACGACCTTATCCTCTCTTTTGAATACAACATCAACAGGTTAAATTATATAAAAAAGTAATTGAAGCGTTGCCACAAAATTCTCATTTTTTAATTCCTATATCTTTGGAACCCAATTTCGTAGACCCTAGGTGTACACCATCAAATTGCAAAGACATATAGATTAGAATATTTGAGTTTGTGGCAAAAACTCAATTTCTTTGCATTCATTCTCTGTTCAGTCTAGATTACTCAAACTCAAAACTCAAACAGCCAGCAAAATACCAGACTGCAGTAAACCAAATATTCAAATATTAGGTGAAAGGAAGTGTAAGTGAAATTTCCAATGACCCTCCATGCAAAGATGACAATGTCCAAATCACAACGGTATCCTTAAAACCTTTATCTGACAAATAATGCGGAAGATATTGGGGTTTTTCTAGGTTTGAAAATGTCTAATTCTGACAACTGTTGGAAGTTCCGTTTTGAATGGGGCATTGTCATCTTTGCATGGAGGGTCACTTGCCATCTGCAATTACGTTTACAGTCCCTTTAAATGAAATATTTGTCACATACTTTGATATAAAGGTTTTACAATCATGATAATTAGAACTTTCTTCCCTAAAATGTACAATTGTACAAACAAACCACAAAATGTACAATTGTACAAACAAACCACAAAATGTACAATTGTACAAACAAACCACAAAATGTACAATTGTACAAACAAACCACAAAATGTAGAAAATTCACAATTCCAATTTCATACAAGAAAGTTTTAAAACGTAATGTTTATTCTTTTTTAACTTTTTTTTTATTTAAGCTTGGTTTATTTAAGTACAACAATTTCAATTTCAGGAAAACAACACATTGAAATTAAATTTCTAAATTCTTTTCAGCGACTGCTTGCAATGTATGAATTAAAAAAGTTAGTTGTTGTTTTTCAATAACATTTTTTTTTAATTTTCTGCAAAATCTATTTAAATAGGTTTTCTTAAAAAATATTTTTTAAACAAGCATTTGGTATAATGATAATATTTCAACAGAGAGCCATGAATTACAATTATATAAACTTTAGACAGTCCTTTTAGATCAAAACTTTCTGGCAGTCACATTCAATCAAATTTTTACGGTAGACCTATTTCCATTAAATCAACTTTTTTAGACAGTTCCATCTATATATATTGTTCAATTTAGGAAATGAATTGTCTGCAAGTTGGTTGTTTTTAAAACTATTTTTAGAGGACTTAGACAGTAAACTAAGAGCTAGAAATCTATTAAAGTTTTAATTGAAGTTATATCTTCAAGAAACTCCAAATAAACTTGAAGAACAATGTCCAATTAAAAAAGTTTAAACTTCATACTGAGGTCACATTTTCAAAAGTTTGAATTAGATGAATATTGTTTTTAATGATTGAACAAATTACTTTTAACTAAAATATTTTGCTTCTTGAAACAATTATTGGGTTCTTTTTAAATTACTTATCTTTCTTTTCGAACAAAACCACCGATTTTGATTTAAAGATTCAGGAAGGATTTAAAGCGGTGATTCAAATTTGAACCGGAGGTAGGCAGTTAAAATTCATTAAATTCTGTCTCAGGAAAAGGATCCATCACTTTAACTGAAGAAATATTTTAACAATCACTTCAGCTTCAGAGATAATAAACCATTGGTAATTAACAATGGTTTAAGCTCTAGACTTTAAAGCTCTTTAAACCAAATTCAGTTCTAGGAAATTTTATGCTCAATAAAATTCGTTCGAACCACATTTCACTGTTTACTTCACTCAAAAGATTTGATTCAAGGTGCCTTTGTGCTTGAAACGTTCAAATCTTAAACTGTTGTTTTATAATCTTCATGATCATATTTTATTATTAAAAAATTATACGTTTTTGTTTTGGTTTATTTTGAAAGGTTGGCTGGGTTTTGGTTTTGTATCTTCGAAACATTGAATTGAATTTCAATCTTGACTCTACAGTCTTGGACCTTGGTTCTGCAATTTTGGTAATAAAATTTTGATTTCAAAATCTTGAGTCTACGATCCTGGTTCTACAACCTTGGCTCAGCAATCTTGGCTCTGCGATCTTAGTTTTGAGATCTTGGTTTTGCGATCTTGGGTTTGCGATCTTGGTTTTGTGATCTTGGTTCTGAGGCCTTGGTTTGAGATCTAGGTTCTGAGATCTGGGTTTTGAGATCTTGGCTCTGTGACATTGGTTCTGAGACCTAGGTTCTGAGATCTGGGTTCTTGGCTATCGCTTCTGAGACCTTGGTTCTGAGATCTTAGTTCTGAGATCTGGGTTCTGAGACCTTGTTCTGAGATCTGGGTTCTGAAACCTTGGTTCTGAGATCTGGGTTCTGAGATCTTAGTTCTAAGATCTCTGTTCCGAGATCCGGGTTCTAAAATCTAGGTTCTGAGATCTTGGATCTGACGATCTTGGTTCTAGGAACTTGGTTCTGAGATCTTTGTTCTAAAATCATGGTTCTGAGTTTACATGAAACTTCCACTGCTCTCATCTGCTCGACGTGGTGGCACTGCTCGGCCTCTAATAAATCATATTTTTATTTTAACATTTTTCAAACTCGCCTTAACTTGACTTTATTCTCGTGTAGAAGGTGACAGAGACTGTTGACGTAAAATTTCAACCCCCGGCCCCCCCCCCTGACCGATTCACGTCAGTACCCTTTAAAACACCCTGGTCACTTGAAATTACATTGACAGTCTCTTTAATCCTGTGAAAAATAAGCCATTTATCCAACAAATTATATCTAGCATAATTCATAGTTTGAAATATTAGAGACACACATATCAAGTTGCAAAGATATAAAGTTTAGATAATTAGTTTTTGTTTTGAAAACATTTTATTCGAGGTGTCAAAGCATTATTTTTATTTAATTTGTTTTAACTTAAATGAGATTTTGAATTAATGATTTGCTCACTGAAACTAAAAACTTTCAAATATGAGGTTACAATCAAAACTTTCATTCTAGATTAAAATTTTATCAAATTTAGTTTAAATGAAGTCAAGGGGTCAAAAAATGCATTAAAACAGTTTCAGCAAATCTAAGTTCCAATTAAATTCAAATAAAAAATTAGAATAAAAAATCATAAAAGGTTTGTAATATTCTTTTTTAACAAATAAGAAGGATTTGCATACACCTATCTCACACAATTCTTATATCTTTGCAATCTGATGGTGTTAACTATCTACACTGAATTAAAAAGTTTAGTAAATATAAAAATTTTACATATCAGCTGGAGCCCGACATCTAAATATTGAAGTTTGACTTTAGTTTTTTTTTATTTTTACTGCAAAAAAAGTAATTAATTTTCTTTTTTTTTTTTACCTTGCTCCAGATTGATTAGAGTCTTCATTGTTCTGTTTGGGGGCACCACCCACTGCATTGCACTGTAACCTCCTGGACCCAGGGCAATCAATTAATAAATAATTCAATCATTTATATAACAAATCAATTAGTTATCAAAACAATCAACTACTAAACTGATCAGCTTTCAAATAATCAGTTAGTCAATCAATCAATCAATCGGGTACACAATTATTAAATCAATTATCAAATCAATCTGATCAGAAATCAATTAATTAATCAATTAAACATTCATTTAAGCAATATAGAGAAGAAAAAAATTTATTTATAGGCTGATTCAACATTTGAATTTTTCAGGTCCCGCATCAAGTAAGGAAGAAATTCAATAAAAATTAAAAATAAGAGATAAAATTAAAAGTTAAGAATAAGAGAGATTAATTACCCGTTGGATAAAAATGCAGCAATCTCTTTGAAACTTTCAATAACCTTTTATCTAAAACTAACAAGATTACTGAATATGCATTTTCTATATCCATCTAAGCAAACATTGAGAAACCTAAGCTAGTACACGTTTTCTGCTTTTTGTCAGGGTAACAGGAATAAAAATACGTTCAAAACGTAATATTTTAATAAATAATTTTTTTTGGATTTTCAAAATTTACACTTTTCAAATGTTTTTGTTCTGTATTTTTTTATTAGTATTTATCCAAAGGACTGTTTAGGTAAAATTAAAGGGTGTATAGCCTAAACATTTTAGGAGTTGATCGCCACCAATAATATTTTTATCTGATGACCCTGTCTCAAGAAATTGTGATAAAACTGTGTGAAATGGATACCAAAACTCATATATATGAGATTTGGTATATGAATCAAAGTTTCAAACAGATCATATTCAGCAAATATGCAATGAATCTGAAAATTACGATAACTAAGAAGATCCTACACAGTTTAGGTATGCTCTTAATATGATTTAAATATAATACTTATTCATTTGTAATAGATATAATTGATAATATAATTGTTATGTCTTTATCACGTGAAAATTATTTCCACCAATGGCTGTGCAGTATCTGGTCAAGTGGCCCTGTCTGTATCACATGACCAGAATTTCCACCGACCGCCGTTCAGTATCTAGCCAGAAGGCTCCTTCGACTAGAAAACGTGTAAATAAGTTTTTTTATAACTTTAACACAGCTTTATATCAAGTTCTTGAGATAGGGACATCAGATAGAACTAATATTGGTAGCGATCAACTCGTAGAATGTTTATACTTCAGCCTATGCCCCTTTTTATTATACCTGAACAATCGATACCTCAATTCCTCTTTAATGGTGAGTCAGTTGAAATTTAAGTTGTATCATCATTATAATAATTTATCAGCAACTACAATAATCTCATTTTAACAATAAAAATGATTTATTAATTAATTGATTGGGTTCCTCATGATGATGAGTTCACTCTGATGCTCTGAGAAAGACCCTCGCCGGCTGTAGCGAAAAGTCAGCTTTCGCAGGTTCATCTTGATCCGGCGGGGGGCGCAGGTCAGCGCGTAGTTGAAGTAGTCTCGGAACCTAGATACCATAGATTTAAAATTGGAACATATATCAGAACACCAACCAGAGATACCATTGTGTTTAATATCAGAATATAAATCAGAACACCAGACATAGATACCATTGTTTTTAATATCAGAATATATATCAGAACACCAGGCATAGATACCATTGTTTTTAATATCAGAATATATATCAGAACATCGTAGATACCATTGTGTTTAATATTAGAATATAAATCAGAACGCCATCCATTGATGCAATTGTGTTTAATATCAGAATATATATCAGATTATAAACCATAGACACCATTGTGTTTAGTATCAGAAAATATATCAGAACACCAGGCATAGATACCATTGTGTTTAATATCAGAATATATATCAGAATACAGTAGATACTATTGTGTGTAACATCAGAATATATATAAGAATATATATCAGAATATATATCAGAATATGTATCAGAACATATATATCAGAACACCAACCAAAGATACAATCGTATTTAACATCAGAATATATATCAGAATATATATCTGAACAACAACCATATATATAAACTAGTATGTTTGAGAATACTAGTGGTACTTTATGTAATAATATTTATAACAGCTGGCCGACGTCTGTGGGGGGGGGGGGGGGGGATGCATTTGGCAGTTCTTATAAATAATTTTCTCTTTTCTTGTCAACATTACCACAAATATAGTGGATTGAAACATTTACTGATTAAATCCATAAGATAATAAAGCTTTATATGAGTTTCTTTGATCAACGGATTAAATGAGGAATAGATCATTTACATTATTTATCATAAGAAAGTTATAAAAGTTGTGGGAAAAACAACATTAAAGGGGCTGTAAGCAAAAATTCAAGTGACCCTCCATGCAAAGATTGCAATGCCCGATATACAACGATTTAAAAAACTTTGAATGATCAAGTATGAATTAGATTTCAACCTTTTTTGTTTCTTAAAACTGTTTATTTGCATTTGCGGTTTCTCTGCGAACGTGACTCACTATAGTTTCAGTAGAAGTAAATATTTCCATTTACTGTTATGGCGCAGATATAAGGATTTATCTATAATTGGATGAGGAGATAGATAGAAAGATAGATGATGTTACCGCCAGACCATTTCTGTTGGTTCAGAATAGACAACAAACACATGACTGAACCCTGATTGGATCTGGAGCTAATGGACGCGGCATACAGGAGTGGACTTGCGCATTATTGTATTTAAGAAACAATGGAGAAACTCACAGAAATAAACACTCTTTCAGTCAGAAAAACGACGTTATCTTCCACATTCGATGAGATTAAAGTTTTAATTGTACCGATGTATATCGGTCATTGCTATCTTTGAATGACGGATCACTTGAAATTACGCTTACACTCCATCTTTAAGAAAGTACGTGATATTACTCTCCCAATCCGCTGGATCCCTTCCAGAAAAAAAGGGTTATTAAGAGTTTAATTAGGATTTGGTTCTCTGAAGGTTAAATTTTGTTAAATAAACTAAAAAGTTTATTTAACAACATTTTTTATTCTAGAAACTGAATTTTGCAATCTTTATAATCTTCAGCTCAGGCATTATCTATTTATATAAAATAGTAATCTCTGTTTGTATGTTTGTATTTTAGATCATATCTCATGGATCCTCAAGACCAGTTTGCCTCAAACTCAAACTCGGTATAACCATGAAAATATTCTAATCTTGTTTTAAACGTTTTAAGTTGAGAGGTTTGACTTTTTACCGAAAAAATTTGGTTTCGCAAGCTGTTTAAGCATAATACAACATGTGCATTGTGCTTCTGCATGGCTCTTCAATATTTTAAAGCTTTAAATAATTTTTTTAAAATTTAGAACTTTTGAGTTGTGAATCTCGGGAATCGGGATAAAGTATTGATCTCCATCTTATGGAGACCTATGGATTACTTTAAATCTTTTCCGATATTCCTGACGGATAGCTTTAATGGAGGGATTATGCTTTAGCATTTACCCTTAAATTTTAAAGTGTCCACATTAAATATCAAGATCAAGCATTAGAGATGAAGGATGTTTCACAGAAAAGTTCTGACCTTGAAGATTGTTCTAGAGTTGATAGATAAGTTTATCAATGTTTTCTATTCGTTAGAAACAGAACAAATAAATTTACAAAGGTAAAAGTTAACACAGAAACTTTCAATCTCTTAACTTAGGTCAGCACAAAAGTGCAAAAAATAAACACAAATCTTGTGTTCTTTTTATCTTGAATAAGGATCAGGGTTTAAAATAACAAATTTTATCAATCTTTTTATCTTAAATAAAGATCCAGGTTTCATAATAACGGATTTAANGTTGACTATCTGGTGGAATACATAGTTGACTATCTGGTTGAATAAATAGTTGACTATCTGGTTGAATAAATAGCTGACTATCTGGTGGAATACATAGTTGACTATCTGGTTTAATAAATAGTTGAATATCTGGTGGAATAAATAGTTGACTATCTGGTGGAATAAATAATTTACTATCTGGTGGAATAAATAGTTTACTATCTGGTTGAATAATTAATTTACTATCTTGTTGAATAAATAGTTTACTATCTGGTGGAATAAATAGTTGACTATCTGGTTGAATAAATAGTTGACTATCTGGTTGAATAAATAGTTGACTATCTGGTGGAATACATAGTTGACTATCTGGTTGAATAAATAGTTGAATATCTGGTTGAATAAATAGCTGACTATCTGGTGGAATAAATAATTTACTATCTGGTGGAATAAATAGTTTACTATCTGGTTGAATAATTGTTTACTATCTGGTTAAACAAATAGTTGACTATCTGGTTGAATAAATAGTTGACTATCTGGTTGAATAAATAATTTACTATCTTGTTGAATAAATAGTTGACTATCTGGTTGAATAAATAATTTACTATCTAGTTGAATAAATAGTTTACTATCTGGTTGAGTAAATAGTTGACTATCTGGTTGAATAAATAGTTGACTATCTGGTTGAATAAATAGTTAACTATCTGGTTGAATAAATAGTTTACTATCTGGTGGAATAAATAGTTGACTATCTGGTTGAATAAATAGCTGACTATCTGGTGGAATAAATAGTTGACTATCTGGTTGAATAACTAGTTGACTATCTGGTTGAATAAATAATTGACTATCTGGTTGAATAAATAATTGACTATCTGGTTGTACTATCTGTTTGAATAATATGTTGACTATCTACCTTTTGTTCATCCAGTAGTAGACGATAGGGTTGACGCAGCAGTTGGACATCGCCAGCCAGTAGAACCCTAGGTACACGTGCTTGGTGTACGCAGATTTGAACACCTCTGAACAAATATAACATAAATTCAACATTTTTTAGAAATCAAGATTTTTATGAAATATATCTTTGAATGTCAGCATTAATACCAATATAGTTTCGGTGACTGTTATAGTGATATAATACAATTTTAGTATCTGACAATTCAGTTTATTTTATTATATTAGCATTTCAAAACTGGAAACTATATTGAAATATTTGTATCTATATTGTTTTCAATAATTACCTTTTTTATTTTCATTATGATAGGTTTTTTAATGTATTATGCTTATACTTATTTATATATTTGTTAAATGAACCTGGATGATAGAATGAGTAGAGAAAGTAGAGATGGTAAGGGAGCCAGCAAACTCCGAATATAGTGATCACAACTCCAAACATTTTCACCACCTTAAACAGATCAATCTTTTATTTAAAATTGATAAATTAATAACAGAAGGTACCCCATATATATCTTTATCTTTATTAATTTTGTGTTTTCTATAATTTACTTATTTGAGTTGATTTAAATCGATTCATTCCAGAGTGTCAACCTCTCAGAAGTTGCCAAATTTTAATTCGAAATATGTTAAATTCATTAATCCCCCCTTCCGTTTAGGGGCAGATACAGGGGGGGGGTCGGGGGGACATTTGCCCCCCTGACAGATTCCCCTGAATTTGGAATTTTTTGTTCCTATTTTCAGAATAGCTTCTCAATAGCATGCTTAAGGGAAAGAAACCCTAGTGCAAAACAGGAAAAATATCTGTCTTAATAAACTATAACGTGTGAAAAGTTAAAAATCTAGTTTTTTAGTCATTAGTCATTAATTTTGACTTTTTTGAGTCTTTTAAGTCAAAATAAATTTTCGCCTGCGGCACGATTTTTAGTTCCTACTTATGAATTTTTTTGTTCCTAAAAATTCCTGTATCCGCCCCTGCTTCCGGTCCCTTCCGGTCCCCCTTTCCCTCTCTTTTCTGTAATCCACGTATAAAAAACTTCTATAAGAAAAATGTCCTGTATATATGTCAAACAAAATCAAAACAATTATAGTTATTATTTAATTATCTTAAAATATAATATAGTTAAGTGATATAAAAATGTCATGAATCAACTTTATACAAATTTAGCTTCTCTGGGTGGCTGTTTTGGTGTTTGTCTGTTTGTTTGTATCCAATAAGCGTCAAAACGGCTGAACCGATCTGGCCCAAATTTTGGGTGGGCGAAGCGCCCTAAAAACCTAGTAATATAAATGACAATTTAGAGATTTATAGAAAGAGCAGAGAGGATCATCTTATAATGTAATTGTACTGAAAAGGGGGGGGGATGAAAGGAGAATTATTTTTGACAGTTGAAAGTACAGGGAGGGGGGGGAAGGGGGGGGATATTAATAATTTGTTTTTGCTGGAATTTAGCAGGAGTAGGGAGAGAGTAGAGGTTTTTTAAATGAGAGGGTGTAGGGTATTTATTTTTTAATTTTGTTGAACAAAATTTTTCATGCGGTTTGACTGAAAATTAATCATGTAATCTGTTAAAAAAAGTGGGGTAGGGGGTCTTAATCATCCAATTGTGTAGAAAAAGAAGGAAAGGGGGAGGCCGGGGGTAATAATCATAAAATTTAATTGTAAAGGTGGGGGTCTTAATCATTCAATCCTGTTGGAAAAAGAGGGGGGGGGGGTTTAATTATGCAATTCTTCTGGAAAAGAAGTGGAAGAGGGGGGGGATACTTAATTAACTTCGTTCTCTTATGATGATTAAATTATCTTGTTAATTAATCAAACTTTTAGCAAAGCACCCTTAATTCACTCAAGCAACCTTCTGAGGAGGAACCTTCAGGAAACAATGAAGCTAGGATCATAAAGGGAATTCTTTAAAAATTTATCAACGTTATTTTTGTTAATAATTCCTTTCTGCTTAAAAATGTATTATCCTGTGCGATTTTTAAATAGAGATGGACATCGATTTGTCAACGAACCAAATTTTTTATATCTAACAAAAAGTTTTGTGAATAATGGTGTTATTCAGAAAAAAAACTAACGATGGCCGAACGACTTGGATCGTTCTTAGAAATAAAAAACAATCGGTTTTTAAAAAGAAACAAAGAACATAAACAAACAATTTAAATCTTTTGAATGAAAACGATAGTTTTTTACTGAAAGAACGATTTTATTAAACGAAGTTTTAACTGAACGAACGATTTTACTGAAAGATCTTTCAGTGAGAAAACGAACGAAATAAATATAAATTGAACGATAATTTTGAGAATCTTGTATGGTAAGCTTTGGAATTTCTATTTTTATCGTAAAAATGTGATTTATTTTTAGAAATAATAAAGATAACAAAAAAAAACAATTTTAAATTACCTGGGGATTTAATCTAAAATAGATTTTAACAAAAATAAGATCATCTCGATGAATCAAAATTGAAGTTTATATTATGATAAAAGTATAATTATTTTAAAAGCAAATTCAAGATTTATCAAGAACTTGCTTTAGCATACAACTAATTGCCTTGCTTTAAGAAATATTTTGAAAATTTTCTATCAGGAATCAAAAACTTCTAAAACTTTGGTAAAAGTTTCTAAATTGATGTTTACATATTTATTATTATTAGAAAATATTAGGAATAAGAAATATCTACATTACTTAATTGTCATATTGAATAAATGTTTTAAAGGATTTAGTTAAATCTTCTAGTATGAATTAAAGCAACCCCCNAGGTTAACACCATGTAGATTACATTGTAGCTAAATATAAGAATATTTAATACCAAGGATGTATACAATCGTATAATAACGCCGAAGTTCATTGTTACTAATGCGACTCGAACGACGACCTGTAACTCTTGACATATGACGATCTGAAGGTTAAACTAAATGATTCCTGTCGAAAATGAAGTTTTAATGAAATACCTCATGATCTTTCAACGAAATAAACAAGATGCAAGAGATCTTTTATTGTGAAAAATAAGAGTGAAAAACTTTCGCACAGTCGTCTCTGAAGTGTTGTCCTTACTCCTTCCTTGGTAACCTTGTAGGATATAAGATGATATCAATATTCATTTTAGGAACATTGATCTCACAAGAAGGAAATGATTCATTCGGCGTACTGTCGCGATTTGCTGTCTAGAATGTTTGCACAAATTGTGTTGTACAACTCTGGTATACTAATTTGAGATGGAGAAGGACAACAACTGTGCATTTACAGATAAAAATTAAACAATGTAACTCTAATAATTAAAAAAAATTCTTGAAAATGTGTATCAAAAGAACTTTTTCGGATAATCAGCTGAGCCCAAAATAAAAAGCATTAGGTTAATTTTCACAAACTTTTGATATTTAGGTATAAAATTCTTTTCTTAGGCCTGGCTCCTTTAGTTTCAAATGCCTTTTGTTTTAAGCATTAGCAAGATTAACATTTACACAATTTTTTCAAAAATCATAAAAAGTTGTCACACCTTACTAGTTATGTTGTCATTAACACGTATGTATTAAATATTAAATAAATCAATAGAATAAAAACATATATTAAAAACTAAAGATATGTGCCTTTTTTGATTCAAGGACAATGGCGACTTTAAGAAAAATATTTAAGTTTGTTACAATCTTCGAGAGAATTTTCGGACTGTGATTCTATTTTTTTTTTTATCATGGAATACTATTGAGCCAAACAAATAAAATTGTTTAGAATATTTATATTTTCTATTTAGACTCGTATATGCATTTATTAGATCAATTAGATACAGTAAAAATAATATCAAGGGAATAATACCATTATTATTCTAATGATAAAAAAACATTTATGGAAAAAACTCCGAATCTATCGGATTACAAGCAAAGCGCATGATACTTTTTTTATAACCTAAAACTTTGAACTTAAATCTAAAATCCATAAAACGCTAATACTAAATACAAAAACAGCTGAACTGGTCGTTTTTAATAAAATATGGAATTATTTTTTTTTTTTTTATCCACCAAATAAATCAGGAAAATTTACGATATAAAAGATTGTAATGTTTATGCAATTTACAAAGAAAAATGCAGGTAAAGTAGCATTTAATGTAGGTTACAATTATTACAAGTTTGATTTTGTAAATAAACTTAGTCAACATATTTTTTTTTGTAAATAAGCTTATCTAACATATATTTGTGTTATTAAACTTAATAAATTAGTCTACTTATTTTTTTGTAAATAAACTTAGTCTACATATGTTTTTGTAAATAAACTTAGTCTACATATGTTTTTGTGAATAAACTTAGTCTACATATGTTTTTGTAAATAAACTTAATCTACATGCATTTTTGTGAATAAACTTAGTTTAAATATATTTTTGTAAATAAACTTAGTTTACATATGTTTTTGTAAATTAACTTAGTTTAAATATATTTTTGTAAATAAACTTAGTTTAAATATATTTTTGTAAATAAACTTAGTTTAAATATATTTTTGTAAGTAAACTTAGTTAAAATATATTTTTGAATAAACTTAGTTTAAATATATTTTTGTAAATAAACTTAGTTTGAATATATTTTTGTAAATAAACTTACTAGAAATCATAAGTGGAGTATCCTTGAAGACCATCAGGCCAGATTGTAATACACACCTCAAAATTTTCTACCCTACAAATCAAAAATGAAAACATACAAATTTTAACAAACTTATTATTCGTCTAAAACCTAAAATGGTGGTAATACCATATTTCATAGTACAGTTACACATATCAGAAAGATACAAACCATTATTTATAATTTTTTTTCAAAATTAAATATGCTCCAAATCATTCTCATTTTTGAGGATTTTTCAAACTAAAAGATTATATTTAACTATATATTTGTGTTAAACTTATGTTTTTGGAAAGTCTTGACTTGAAACTTGGTTTTTAAAAAATGGACGAATTAGAGCATATGTCAACTCTAAAAAGGAATTGAGTCTTTGCCACAAACTCTGATTTTTTAATGCCTATATCTTTACAACCCAATGTCATAGACCTTAGATATTTCAAACTATGATGCAAACCGTTGATATTTCAAACTAAATTTGAAATATCAACGGTTTGCATCACCTGGTTGGTTGTACAGATATAGATATTAGAAAATTTGGTATTTGCTGCAAAGACTCAATTCCTTTGGATCTGAATGCAGTGCTCTAACCCGAAAATATATTTTGTTGCACATACATCTGCCTCCTACTTTATCCAAGCGTAATGTCGTCTTCCTACCCTTCACCTTTAATCGGTTTAATCAGTTTAAAAACCAGAGAATGTATTACGGCATATAGCTCTGTCCCTGACAGAGAAAACATGTTAAATAGTAAAACATTTAAAACAAAAAATTCTACAATCCGTAACAATTCTAATTAAACAACCGGGGTTTTTATTTCAGAAGTAATAATTAAATGTTTTAAACTGACCCAATCACCTTCCTCTGAGAACAAATTACTAAAACATATTTGCAACCTTGTGTTTGTGGTAACAGTAACTAGGAGTTCATCCAACAACAATCAAACTGTCCGTGATTTGTGTCAACAACTTTAATGTAAACCAATTTTCTGTTGAAGTGAAAAAATGCTTTATTATAAATCAAAACTTAAATAGAAAAGTCGTCTTTATTGTATTGAAATAAAGACCGACCACTGTAAAACATCGTTGAATAATCAGGCATAACATATTATTCAGAAATTAATAAATATTTCACATACCAGCAGTACAAACGAACAATGCATGCCATGAATAATTAATGAAATATCTAGTTTAACATGAATATCTTAACTCAGAAAATTCCAGTATATAACCGCTCCCTTAGTATGATGTTAAAGGAATTGAGTCTTTGCTATAAACTCAATTTTTCTAATCCATATATCTTTGCAATTAAAAGTTGAAAAAGAAGATGGGCGCGAAGCGCCCTAAAAGCCTAGTAACTTTATATTTTCTCTGTCATATTATTCTAACCACGTGTATCTCCTTGAGGTTAAATAATACAGGAAATATTATCTCTGCAAGTACTTTTTAGAGTTATCACACTTCAAAGGTTTTGAACGAAAAGTTTGGTTTGATTGCTCAGAAGAAATGATAAAAGAAAAACTGAACAAAAATGTCTGTATTAAATACCAAGTCCCACTGTGCAAACGAATAAATAGGAGCTATAATACAAGTGGTTCGCTTTGTGCAAAATTCTTTTTTTTCTTTTCTACGTACAATATTCATTGCAAAACGTATTTTAAATTTATCTAAAACTTTAAAGCAGTCGATCTGAACGGATAAGTCCGGCTAAAATGGCCTTAGAGTCAAGTATATGCAAAAAAGTTACGAAGCGTTCTGAATTTTGTTGAATAAACTTACCCTGTAGTATTGACAGTATGTAGAGAGGTGTGAAGTGTAGAGGGAAGTGCCAGAAGAATACAGAATACCCAGATAGCCAGGATAGCGCCACAAACCCAGGCTTTCGTTGGTTTAGGCTTCAGAGGGCTCATTATTGCCTTCCTAAATAATACATTTTTATTCGGGACTGTCAATGAATTTTTAGAGCCTCATGCCTAATTCACAACGGTACCCTTAAACAAAGGGAAAAGTGTTGAATTCTGTCAATTTCATTATTTTTCTCTGCTGCAAAAAATTAGGAGTACAAATCAAACTCTCTAAATCTTTCTCTATAATATTTACTTCACAAAAAAAAAGAATATCGAATTTTTTTTGCTGGATAAACATATTTTTGATCATCTTTAATCTTTAATCTTCTCTTTCTAATATTTATATGTCAATAAATCTTGAAAAAAGAGATTTGGAGATTTTACTAGTAGTGGGAAGGGGGAGGGGGTGATAAATTAAGTTTCTTTGGGGGGTGACATTTTTTTTTGTAAAGGTGGCGGTGGCGGGAGNGGGGGGGGGCGCTTAAAATGGGATGTGACTACGAATCAAACCTATCTTCTGTCTAGTGTGGTGGCTAGGAGAGAGAAGACACTAGCTGAGACCTACCTTCTGTCTAGTGTGATGGCTATGAGAGCGAAGACGTTAGCTGAGACATACCTTCTGTGTAGTGTGATGGCTATGAGAGCGAAGACGTTAGCTGAGACATACCTTCTGTGTAGTGTGATGGCTATGAGAGAGAAGACGTTAGCTGAGACCTACCTTCTGTCTAGTGTGATGGATAGGAGAGAGAAGACGCTAGCTGAGACCTACCTTCTGTCTAGTGTGATGGCTATGAGAGAGAAGACGTTAGTTGAGACCTAACTTCTGCCTAGTGTGATCGCTATGAGAGCGAAGACGTTAGCTGAGACCTACCTTGTGTCTAGTGTGATGGCTAGGAGAGAGAAGACGTTAGCTGAGACCTACCTTCTGTCTAGTGTGATGGCTAGGAGAGAGAAGACGTTAGTTGAGACCTAACTTCTGCCTAGTGTGATCGCTATGAGAGCGAAGACTGTCTAGTGTGATGGCTAGGAGAGAGAAGACGTTAGCTGAGACCTACCTTCTGTCTAGTGTGATGGCTAGGAGAGAGAAGACGCTAGCTGAGACTGCAACCAAGGAAGTAAAGTGATTAAACACACAGTATCCCAGACCAAACTCCCATTTACTAGAATAAAATTAATTAAAGGCTGTCGACTTAGTTCTAAGCGATCCTTCTTTTCTAGAGTTACGAATGGCATGTCCGATTTACAGTTGTACCCATTAAACCGATCACAGCTAATTAAAGTATCCTAGTTTTTTCCAGCTGAAAATGAGTGTTTATATGACAGATCCTATTTCAAATGTTAAGTTAGAAAAACATGGATTTCTCTTTTATCGATGGTCAGACAATGGTTAAAAGATACTGTTGTGAATCATTCAAAATCGAATGGCATAACAGTTTTTCATGTTTGATTTATTTTGAAAGGATTTGGAATTGAAATCTGATAATTAACTTAAATGCTCATTAGACCTTAGATATTTCAAACTATGAAATCTGTAAGATCAAATAATCTAAGTTTGAAATATCAAAGGTGTACACCATCAGATTGCAAAATTTGAGTTTGTGGCGAAGACTCAATTCCTTTAATCAAAATCCTTTTTTCTGTGAGTACAAATTTTTGTAAAAATATTTTTAAAACTGTTTTATCAATTTGAAAAAAATGAATTTTTGCAAATCATGAATGTACATTTCTAAAGTAGAAGTTTTACAAGCTTTTTCTCTCAAAAAATGAGTTTAAAGATTTATATTACGACAATTTAAGTTAGTTCATTTGATAAAAATGTTTAGATCCTTTCAGCACGTGTCTTTAAAGTTTCTATCATAAAAAGCAAAAAAATGAATTTTGATTTTTTTTCTCTTTCATTTTGATCACGTTTTTGTGAATAATAAATCACTATTGCAAGTAAATATATATTTTTTTAAAATTATGTCTTGAAAGTATAGCACTGAATTCAAAAACGCTAAAATCGTAAAAATCAGTTAAAAATTGAATAGGATATAGGACCTTTCAGCGGAAAGTTTTTTGGTCCTAGATCGAGTATCGACCAATTTGACAATTCTAAAACACCAGCAGCAGGGCAATATTCGCAACTTTAGACATCCATATTGTCAAGCAATAAAAACGACATTGTATTCATTACTGCTCCTTAGATAAAGGTTTAAAGGGTATCGTCGAGAATCTGTCATGAATCTGTTTTTTTAAAAAGGATCCGTGGAAATATCTTCGACAGTCCCTTGTAACTAAATTTGGTTTATCATGTTTTTCTCGACGCCCTGTACCTGTCCCTCATGAAGATGAAGGAGAAGATGCAGTTGAGGGTCGCCATCATAATATCAGCCATTGTCAGGTTTAGGAGGTAGTAGTTCGTAACACTCCACATACGCTTATGTCCTTTTCAAAAATATATGTTAGTACGTGCTTGCTCTAGAATAGGCTTTCCAGCAGAATAGAAAATTGTTGCGCGCAATGCAAATACCGCATTTTGCGCGTGCAATTTTTGTTTCGTCGTAAATTACCCAATTTTGCCCATTTGACGTAGAAAAAACGCGCTAAAAATACGAGAACATTTAAGTTCTACACTTTTTAGACAAAATTTTGTATACCTTTGCAACCGGATAATGTTAAAAACATAGATTATTTATTTGATCTGAGGTCTATACGACACTGCATTGCAAAGATATAGAGATTTGAAAAAGTGAGTTTTTGGCAAAAACGCAGTTATACGTATTTATTCTCTACTCTGTATGTTAAATGTAGCACGTTTTAATTCTATAATTCTATATTTTTAGGTCAGTGATGTATTTACATAAGATTATACTTAAGGACGTCTCTAGTTACGTTCTGTGTTTCTAGAGAGATAATAGACCAACATCCATATTTGAGACTTATCAGGAGAACATTTAAGTTATAAAATATAAATGACAAAACGTAATGTTCAACTTCAGAAAACTAACTTTTGAAATCAAATGAAAATTTAAAAGAAAGGGGTCGAGGGAATCGAATATCTGAATGTAATACGAAGTTAAAACGAATAAGAACTTATTAAAAACTTGATTTAAGAGAGTCCTCTGTGAAGAATATATGAAGCTAGTTTTAGGCAATATATCTTCTCTATATTGGTTCCCGCCAAGTCAACCTATTTTAGTCAAACATAAATTCAGTCGAACATTTTCATCTCCTGTCGACTGTCAAACATTTAAAAATATCTTCTCAGTTTATTTTATTTTGGGATTTTTTCATGAAGATTATAAATTGAAATTTACAATCTTTAAAGGAACTTTAAAAGAACCTTAAAGGTCTCTCCATGAGTCCTATTCACAATAGTATCCTTGAAAGGTTTATCTGATCAAGAGTGAATAACATATTTAAGTTTTTCTCCTTGAAAATCGTTTATTTATAGAAATGACAAGCGTATTTTTGCTGCAAAATCAATTTTGAATAAAATTGCCAGAAAAAAGTGTTCAAGCTAGAAATGATGATATTTTTCACACTTTTGATCAGAGAAAGGTTTGTCACTATTTAAATGGAAGGCAACAAATGACGACGACGACATAGAATTGAAGCAAAATTCCCATGGCTAAGAAATGTGTTTTTTTATTCCGAGCTTTAAGATTTAATTATATCGCAAAAATAAATTAAAATAAATGCGTGCCCTTTTCTACGTAAATACAAGTAAGCTTTGTCAAGTATTATTTTTTGCAATATGGGGGGGGGGCGGGGGTAGGGGGAACAAATCGCCTACTTAGAATAAAAACTACCTATAACGATCCATATGACAGTAGCATTGCCCAAGACAGCGGTGACAACAATCATAGAAAAAGCAAATGTCCAGAAGTAATCAATATCTTGCTCCCATCTTATCCAATTCCATTCAACAGTAATCGTCCTGTAAACAGTTTAATTACACTTTGGGATGAAAATATTCAGTCAACCATTAAACTCCATTCAAAAACACCCACGGTCAGTGTGGATTTTTATGTCCCTTTTGGGACATGACCTGAGGCCGAATTTAAAGAATTTGAGCCAAAGTTTTAATTTAAGCCACGACTTAAACTTTGTTGGTTCCAATTAAATTTGCATTAAATTTTTCAAGATTTAAGCCGGCACTCAATTGAAACTGGTTTTTGGGGGATTTGAGAAGCTGCTTAAATTAATTAAATTTGAACACAGGACCCAGGGGGGTTGATAGCTGTTTACCTGTTCTAGCATATTTACTTTGACTTTTTACTGAGAATAGAACGAGATTCTTGCCTATAGCTATAAAATAATAATAAAATATACATAACATGTAGTTCCTGGCCTATACATTGTAAAGGATTCGCGTACATTATTACTCTATTACAATAAACTAGGGCTGGGCAAACTTCCGTTTACGAAACGTAAGTGGAAGAGTCCGTTAACGAACAGCGAAAACTGTTAATTTTTAAACAGTTACCTATCAGAAAAAGTCCTTATTAAAAGAAAAATTATTGAAAAATAAACTCGAGATGTGTTGTAAAACAACAAGACGTTTTTCTGCTTAAAATTGCATGAAACTTGCAGAAAATCAAGTTGCATGAAGCTTGCAGGACATTATTGATTTCATGAATTTTATTTTCGTCCTTTTTCAGTTTCATGAACAGAAAGCGAGATTTCTTGGGGGGGGGGGATTTCTCCTTGTCCTATTGTATACGCAGGGTGTCTAAAAAACAGTAGTTAATGTAAGTGCCTCAATTATGCACCAATTTTCGTATTTTTTGACAATACGAAAATCTACTAAAAGTGACAGAAATCTTGTATCATATCTAATCATTATAGTAAATGTTATTTAAACGTTTAAAGTTTGGGAAAACCTCTGGTGCTTCACACTTTTTAAACTGTAATTGATGCCATAGCTTCAGCTACCAATTTAACATCAAAAGATTTCTAAAACTTTAATCGTGAATACAATTTTCTAAAGATCATGGTTACCGGGAGTCGGTTGCACCACCAGCTCGAAAATTTAAAGTAGATATCCTGAATGTTAAAAAACTTTAAATGAGGCTTTGTCTAAATATTTAAAAGGTTAAACCGTATCAGAGTATTTCTAAACATATGACTTGAACTAGGTATTTTTAAATTTTAATTAATAATGATGCAAAGAGTGAACCAGTTCTAACTAGATATATAATAAGGTTGTCAGCTTCAGGTTCAGAACTGAAGATAGCTTCAGACCAGAGAATATATATATATATATATATTTAGTGAAAATTAGAGTTTCCCTCGGTTTGACATTTTTTCAGCAGTCCCTTCTAGATTGAAATTTTTTACACTTTTTGGGAAGTGATAGCAGTCTATACGTTGTTATACTCTGTTTTAAGCTATAGTTGATAGAACGTAAGAAGACTTTGTACATGATTTTACGTACTCCATCTACCTTTCACCTTCATGCCAGAAATCCTAATCTTGGGATCCATCATTCAAAAGTACAAAAGTCAGATTGGTCTTTTGAACACTCTAAGAGGTTCACTTAGTCTTCCTATTGCACGGCGCCCTCTCAAGTTGGTCGATAGCTGCAAATTCAACCAATTGTAAGAGTGAAAACCCAGCTCAAATCCCCCATGCCTTGGTCAAATAGTACATTAAGGAACCGGTCAAAGGGGGGTTCTCAGGAGATGCGCTGCTCATTAATCTTTCGAAGGAGATGAAGCATTTGAAATACTGCGTTGGTTTGCCGTATTAATTCTGACTGTACTCTGTACAACTTGTCCCAGCTGCCTGAAATTCTGTCTGTATTCTGTACAACTTGCCAAAGCTGTCTGAAATTCTGTTTGTATTCTGTACAACTTGTCCCAGATGCCTGAAATTCTGTATGTATACTGGACAACTTGCCCAAGCTGCCTGAAATTCTGTATGTATACTGGACAAATTGCCCAAGCTGCCTAAAATTCTGTCTGTATACTGTACAACTTGCACAAGCTGTCTGAAATTCTGTCTGTATTCTGTACAACTTGTCCCAACTGCCTGAAATTCTGTCTGTATTCTGTACAACTTGCCCAAGCTGCCTGAAATTCTGTCCGGTAGTTCAAATTAAACTTGCAACGTGCATGTCCACCATGCACGCCGTGTGTTTTTTCTGCATGTCATTTGTCAGTATATAATATGTCATAAGTAATATTTGTATGTATTCTAGAATTATCCTTGTTGTTACGTTGGTACTAAGAGAAAATCTTTACTCACTTTTAGAGAAAATGTCCCCAAATTAGATAAAAAATAACAAGATTGAAATTATAAGTTTTAGAACTTTATTCTTTTTTAAAACTTTTGTATTTATGTAATTGTACGATGCTATACAGAAATTTGATATAAACAAACTTATGCGTGACATGTAAATAAATTTGCTCTCTTACGCTAGGATTTGTGTAGCTTATCCCTGATATTGCAGAACAGAAGATTGCTTTATGCAAAATGTTAGATAATTGTCAAAATATCACGGGCATCGCCGGAAATTTCAGCTATACTAAAACTCAGTCACTGGAGGTACTAATACTCATAATATATCTTTATTTCTATATCATGAATATCTCATTTCCTCTTCAGTCAAGTATATTCTCAATTAAAAATATATATACATATAATATAGCAGACTCAGAAAATATACTGCTGGGGGGATAGAAGGGGTTTATAGGGAGTAGAAGGACTGTTTTCATCTTCCGGAAGAGCATAGTACTCCTCCATTTTTGTGAAAACTCTTTCAAATTTCTTGTTCTGGAAATTTGTCTGAAACTGTTAAAATAAATTAAGAAATTCTATGGCCGTGCAACCAGTTATAGGGCGAAAATTGTTAAAATTAAACAATATAATATGGTTTCAAACTAGGATTAAAATTTATGATTTTGATAAATTTGATTCTTGTAAATTAAGTAAACATTAAACACTGTTAATTTACTCTTTATTAATCTACAGTAAACAATAATGTATCAATATAAACATAATATTTTAGAAACAATGCACAAATATGGAGAGAGTAAATGATTTTTTGAAAAATGGAAATTTAATTTTGGAATCAAAATTTGTCTATGAACATGTTTTCTACTTTCTTTGGTAAAAAATGGAACTTTTTTTTCATAAAATGACTTAATAAATTCCGATAAGTCGTCTCTGAAGTCTCATCCTAATTTAAAACCTATAGTTTTCTCAAGCTTTAAACTCAAACTCATTTTTAAGTCAATGTTAGACTGACATCCTCATTATAGTCCCGATGTTAGACTGACATCCTCATTATAGTCCCGATTTTAGACTGACATCCTCATTATAGTCCCGATGTTAGACTGACATCCTCATTATAGTCCCGATGTTAGACTGACATCCTAATTATAGTCCCGATGTTGGACTGACATCCTAACTATAGTTCCGATGTTAGACTGACATCCTCATTATAGTCCCGATGTTAGACTGACATCCTCATCATAGTCCCGATGTTAGACTGACATCCTAATTATAGTCCCGATGTTGGACTGACATCCTAACTATAGTTCCGATGTTAGACTGGTATCCTTACTATAGTTCCGATGTTTCGACTGATATCCTAATTATAGTTCCGATGTTAGACTGACATTCTACCTATCATTCTAATGTTAGACTGACATCCTTACTATAGTCCCGATGTTAGACTGATATCCTTACTATAGTTCCGATGTTAGACTGACATCCTTACTATAGTTCCGATGTTAGACTGACATCTTTACTATAGTTCCGATGTTAGACTGACATCCTTACTATAGTTCCGATGTTAGACTGACATCCTTACTATAGTTCCGATGTTAGACTGACATCCTTACTATAGTTCCGATGTTAGACTGACATTCCTTACTATAGTTCCGATGTTAGACTGACTTCCTAGCTATAGTTCTAATGTTAGACTGACATTCTACCTATATACTTCTAATATTAGACTGACATCCTAACCTTCTTTTTTCCTTTATATACAGAAGAGGATAGACTCTAGTAAGTCTCTGCAGCTTAATCCCTCTGATCAAAAGATGTTTGAAAGAGCTCTTAGAAACATGAATAATAAAAAGTAACAATCATTTATATTAAAGTATTTGCCTATAGCTAGCTTCAAGCAAAAATTTATTGGTATGAAAAAATAGCATGATGAATATAGGTCATGATCAGTTATCTTTACTTTTGCCCGAAATGTATTGTAAAATAAACATTTTTATTGTTTAAGTTTTTTTCCTGTTAGAAAATGATCCAATGAATTCAAAGTTTAGAACTAAACCACATTAGTTAATCAGGACTATATTAGGGAAGGTACCGTCAAAAGTTTGGCAGCCCCATCAAAGGAAAAACTGAGCCAGCACAGGATAGGGGCGGGGCGGTACTTGACGAGCGACACTAAGCCCGGTAGAAGGGGTCGGTCTGGTTCGAATTCCGGTTGACCCTAGTCCAACGTGAAACATATTGTTAGATCTATTTTGAAATGTATAAAAACTAAAGGTTACATGAAGTATAAACTTAAGTTTAATGTTTCAAAGTTCAACTGAGGATAGCGATGGCTTTTTATAAACAAAAACTATGTAGACAATCTATCTGCAGTAATGTCTCTCTCTTAAAGGGAGTGTTTGCGAAAAATTTAATATTTCATACTAGTTTTGATTTTGTTTTTTAAAATAATATTTAGCTTACAACTTGTTTTCGAACATTACTGGAAAATATGAAAATGTCGTCTTCATTACCAAAAATCCTCAAATCAAGAGTGTATTATATATCAATGTTTTTATTTTGGAAAACTGAATATTTTTAATCGTGGTTTCTCCAAAAAAAAGTGACTTGCGCACATTTGATGATGGAAAATAAATAGGAATTATTCAGATTAAAATTTTAAAACCTAGAAAAACGACAATATCTGCCACACTTTAGATCAGAAAAAGGTTTCTAAGGTATTGTTGATAATCGGGCATTGCTATCTTTGCATGGCAAGTCACTTGGAATTAAGTTTACATTCAAAATTATGAATTAAATTGAATATGCATAAAGTGCTTCAGCTAGTTTCAGATACAGTAATAGTAATTGAAACAGCTAGTAAATTATCTCACGCAAAACATCGATGAGAAACTAAAGCTGAAAACAAATATTGTTTAGATATAAAATGAACATGTCTAGGACTACAAAAATGTATGATTAAGTTATTGAGATAAAATCAAAGCCCAAGGTTTGCAACACTTTTAGAGTGGACCTGCAAGTCTTTTAAAATTTAAGCAACTTTTCATAACATTATGTGCATTAACATCTTTTATATAAAATAAAGGTCTTTTTTGAAGGATATGCCACTTGTTAACTCTACTAGGATTGCTGCCTATTCATATAATCTTGAATATTGAATTATGTTTTTATTTGTTTTACCGGCTTTTTACAAACTTAAAAAACTATGAATCCCTCATCAGAGGGACGTTAAGTTAAGTTACGTCCCTTGGGACAACTAAGTAAATTAACGACCCGGTCTGCGAAGTTTTCGTGAAAAAATTTGCGCATTTTCAGAAGACAATAAAATTGTGAACAACTACTTCTTCGAGAAATTAATAATTTTACTTAACCACTGGTTCCCTTGACCAATTTGGCCTGCAAAACATCCCTCGTTGCGCACAGGATGTTTTGTGACAATATTGGTCTCGGGAACCCTTGGTAAAGAAAAATTCACTTAACTTCCCTTTAAAGTAGTTGTAAATAATTATTACTGCCGCTAATAAGTGACATTAATTACTGGCGTTAAAATCTAATTTTTTAATCCTTACATCTTTACAGCATAATGTTGCTGACCTTTGATATGTCAAGAAGTCCTGAAGACTTTTAAGAAGGGCTTTTAAGACATTCCCCCCCCCCGCCAGGAAACGTGTAGGGGGGAGGGGGGGAGGCAAGCACTCTCCCTACCCCCTAAGCAATTATCAGGAATTGGTGTTTTGCTTAGTCAGATGCAACTCATAAGTAAACAATTCTATATAGAGTTCCGAAAAAAAAACAGCTAAATCCTCTCAGCTAGTTTAATTAAATACAGAGTTAAGTAAAAAAAGCAAGATCCTCTAAAAATGGTTCTTTCCTTTGTAAGTGGCGAACCACAAGGATATCCCCCCCAAAAAATTTTCTTTCAAAATTAGCTGAAAGAAGTACAACTAGAAACAAGAAGAAAATCAAGAACAAGAAATATTGAAATCTCAAAACATTTTCATCTGATATCATATAAATATTTTGAAATATTGTAAAACTTGATTCAAATAGATTTTTAAAGTTTAAAAGAGTTTGTGGCAAGTGCTCCGTTTTTTATTTGTTTGCCAAAAATTTCAAGTTTTTCATTTGTGAGTTGTGAAAAATATGTGCATCTGGTCCGAATCTGAAATATGTGCATCTGGTCCGAATCTGAAATATGTGCATCTGGTCCGAATCTGAAATATGTGCATCTGGTCCGAATCTGAAAAATATGTGCATCTGGTCCGAATCTGAAATATGTGCATCTGGTCCGAATCTGAAATCTTCTATTTCTATTTTCAAACTAATTAGCTTCCAGGATGAAAATTGACAGGGAAAGGAACTATAAAGAAAGAATAATTCATATCTTTTAAATTTTTCTTTTATTTTTACAAAGATTTGACATATTTGAGTAATAATAAATATAAATCGTTCTCATTCTTTGCTGAGATTAAGAAGCTTAGTCTAGGAAGTTTTGGAAGCTGGGATTAGGAAACTGGTTTTAGGAAGCTGGGATTAGTAAGCTGGTTTTAGGAAGCTAGGATTAGGAAGCTGGGATTAGTAAGCTGGGATTTGTAAGCTGGTTTTAGGAAGTAGGTTTAGGAAGCTAGGATTAGGAAGCTGGTTTTAGGAAGCTGGGTTTAGGAAGCTAGGATTAGGAAGCTGGTTTTAGAAATCTGGGATTAGTAAACTGGTTTTAGGAAGCTAGGATTAGGAATCTGGGATTAGTAAGCTGGGATTTGTAAGCTGGGTTTAGGAAGCTCTGGGATTAGAAAAATGAGATTAGGAAGCTATGGAATTATAAAGGTAGGTTTAGGAAGCTGAAATTAGAAATCTGGGATTAGGAAGCTGGGATAAGGAAGCTGGGATAAGGAAGCTGGGATAAGGAAGCTGGGATAAGGAAGCTTGGATAAGGAAGCTGGTTTAAGAAAGCTGGGACTAGACAACTGGGATTAGGAAGCTGGGATTAAAAAGCTGGGGTTAGGAAGCTGGGATTAGAAAGCTGACATCAGGACGCTGGGATTAGGAAGCCGGGATCAGGAAGCTGGGATTAGGACGCCGGGATTAGGAAGCTGGGATTAGGACGCTGGGATTAGGAAGCTGCGATTAGGAAGCTTGGTTTAGGAAGATACTGGCTTAGGAAGCTAGGTTTAGGAATCTGGCTCTACTAACTCCTGTCTACAGCTCTGATCCCGACATTAATATCATAAATCTTCTTTGATCAAGCTCGTGACTAGATTTCTAAATAAAATAGGAAAATGAAATCATCATTCCTCCGTGATCAAATCATCATTATAGTGTTTCCCTGACATCCCGGAGACTGTATTTTGTAAAACATTTTTATTTTTTTACCAAAAAAAGGTTATTTTTTATTCAGAGAAACTCTGATCCTTTGTCACGAGTAAATGAATTGATTAAGTATAACTAGGATTAATTGATTTGTGCACAGGACATGTTTTTTTATGACTTCTTACAGTTACATGTTCATACACCAAATGTACATTTCATAACGTTGCATATTATGAGTACACGAATATATTTAATTTAAACTTTTTATGAAATTTTTTAGAAATTATTTATGAAAAAATACAAAGAAAGAGACTTTGATAACACTTCAAAACTATGGTTATGAAGTTGAACCTTTTGTGTGAAACGGCGCTACAACGCTTGGTTTCGATATTGTCTGGGACAACTTTAAAGTTTGAGAGAAAAGATTGCCGCATGATTCTTTCATTTTACCGAATTTAATTAATTGGAGAGGTCGCTGAACTACCTAGAGCTGGTTCAAATCCTGAATCACTGATTCAAATCCTCATGAATCTTTAACCTTAAATCGATGATTCAGGATTTGAACCAGCGGTAAGTAGTTCAGCCAATGTTCTCTAATTCATTCAATGCGGTCCTAGGTTACGATCACATAAAGATAATTAAATGGAATTAAATTACTTCTTAGGTCTACACAAGATGATCCCAACTCAAAAGTTCTGACCTTACAATTAATTAATTTCGTTCTTTCCTTTATAAATTTGCTCTTTTCCATTATATTTTTATCAATACTTTAACAATTATAATTATGTAATAGTTCTTATAATGATTATAATAATTGATAAAGAAGCAGAATGTCCCAAAACCGTCAAGTAAACTTAAGAATCATTATAACCGAAAATTAAGTCCTGTCATTGAATCAAGTTTGTTGTTCTGAAATCAGTTCTCAATTGAATGAAAAACCGGAATAGGTAAAATGAATGAAAATAAAGTAAACGTACATTCCAGATCCTGTTTTGATTTCCACGCAAGTATTAGAAAATTTCATTTATTAGGTTACATACGAGATAGGAATTGTGTCTTTTCATTTATTAGGTTACATACGAGATAGGAATTGAATCTTTGCAACAGACTATGATTTTCTAGTCCTTGTATTGATCCAACCAATTGTCGTAAACCTTAGATATTTCAGACTATGAATTATGTTAGCTCAACTTATCTAAGTTTGAAATATCAAATGTCGCTAAGTTATTGGAATTCGAAAATTTAAGTTTGTGGCAAAAACTCAATTCCTTTAAAATATTTTTGTGCTTCTCCATAGATCTTTAATAAGAGAAGTTTCAATCGAAAACAAGTAAGATTTTAAATTCATTTGAGGTTTATTTAATTTGACTTGAAAGATTAGGATGTAGAGAAGAGAAGATACTATAGTATTTATTACCAACCTCGAGAAGAGAATCTCTCCGACTGTTCTCTCTTTTTACCTGTCCTATCAGTATTCTCCCTTCTCCCTCCTCCTTATCCTCCCCTCCCCACTTCCCCCTCCTCATCATCGTGCCCCCTCCTTATTTTCTTTCCTTAATTATAAATGTCCCTAAGGATATTTGTAATTTGTTTCTTATATTTCTGTAAAATGTACTCTGACCTCCCAGTTATAAATAAAACATTTCTAGCTATATATCTTACATGATTCTTAATCAAAGACAATATTTACTCCACCTCTACTGAATATTTACTCCACTTCTACTGGTAATGACTAAAAACTAAAATCATAGAGTAATAAAATAATAAAATCTAAAAATTCGTCAATTCCATAAAACCCCCCTTAGAAATACGATCACTCTATATACAAGTGTACAGTGTTAGATACGTAAACATATCGTGATGTATACAACCGACCACTCTATTAATTAATTATTAGGGAGGTCGGTTGTGTACATCTGAGCTATGCTTAACCTCTTCGTTTTATTACTCTATGACTAAAATAGATTATCAAGTACAACAGATGGCAACGCAGAATGCGCACACTCTCAGTTCAGCTGCAGTATCTACGTCACGACTTACAATTCAGTTTTCTATGTCTGACAAAATTGTAAATATCATTGATAATTTTAGGCTAAAATCAGCTAAAATGATTAACTTACATCGAAATAAGTGCAATTTTATGTGTTTTTTATTTTTTCTGCTTTTACGCTTTATTATTTAACTAGCCTTAGAAGGCGCTTCGCGCCATCTTCTAAATTAATTGTGAACATGTTCTCTTTGTGTACATCGTAAAACAAAACAAAAATAATTCGCGGATTTTCACAAAAAATTTCGTGGATTTAAAATTTTTTTAAAAATTAAACCCTATTCCTGCGGGGGGGGGGGGTCAATTTGACCCCCCCCCTGTAGTTTTTTTTACATAACTCAAAAAGTATTGGTCTGAGGCTGTTGAAATTTTCTGACTTTGCTTACATACCTAAAGCCCTCCCTTTAGGCCTAAAACCGGGCTTTAATACTAACTGCCTGAGTCCTCAGGCACACTGCCTGAATGACTGCTTTTGCCTGTAACAAACTAAATCTTTGTTTTGACCCTTTTTCACTTGTCAGATTTTGATAAAATTTAGCTTTTTGGAAAGCCTATGACATAAGGAAACGGATTGCACAAGTTTTGCGAAAACAAAATTGCAAATTTTTTGCAAACAACTTGTCAAAGGAAATTTGTACATTTTTAGTTTTTCTTGATTAAAAATCAGGTTATTTAAAATTTTGCAAAAATTTTTGCATATTTGAAATGGCATGGTCAAGGGCTTTTCAAAAATGTATAATTTTTCATTTTTTGGACAATTATTTTTTTGCAAACATTTTTACTATATAACTGGATTTTGCGATAAAAAATTCAATTTTTGCAAATTTGCAGATTCTAAAAGTAGAGCACAAGAGCTTTCTAATGATGTATCATTTGTCATATTTGGACATAAAACATGGGATTTAGAGGGGGGGGGTCAAATTGACCCCCCCCCAGCATATCCTGGTTTTCAAGTACCCCAGCAGGGATAGGGTTAATGGAGATCGATTTTTGATGGAGACAAATATTTGAAACTTTGACCATTCATAAACCTTCCCTGGGGTCCCTAGATGTCCCACAAAAAAAATTGGGCCCGATCGGTTCAGCCGTTTTGACGTTTATTGGATACCAACAGACAGACAGACAAACAAACAAACAAACACCAAGACAAGCCAAATTTATATATAGATGTCATCTTAACTATGTAAATAAACGGGTTGAAGGTGATTTAATGTACATAACGCTCTAACATTTAATTTGGATATTTAGCGGTATAAAACATATTACAGATGTAAAAATACCTAACACCCAAATTTTGGTGTCAATGGATTTCAGAAAATAATTTCTCTGTCAAAAAATCACATTGTTAATCATGTGATGCAGATATATGTATATATATATATATATATCTAATAGAAATCAAATATATGTAATGTATGCTTGTGACAAATATGTAAATTTTGATTTGATTTGATTTGAAATTATTTTCCTATTTCGTGAAAATGTCTTTTCATCCCTTTTTCATTTTAAGAAATTAAAAAGTTTACGTCACGGTTTATGAATTTTTTCATTCAGATTTGAAAATGTTCTTGAAACCGTAAAAAAAAATAAAAATAAAATATTATATATTCAAAAACAGTGTGAGTTTAAATTTATTTTCTTTGCCTGGTTCAAAATTGTTATATTAGGTTTCAAATATCACATTAATTTTGTTGTTGCAAATGATAGAAGAGTACAGTTACTGTACAAAGTGTCCTAATAATATGGGAATCAAGAGACGACGTGAAAATTTATTTCTGACAGTAGAAAACATGACAAAGAGTTTTTATATATTATGGACCACATTTTTGAATTCCCTAGACTAGGATTGGTCGGGGGTTCTGTTTTAAAAATGGCACATGGATCAAAGGGGAAAAAAATCGTCACTTAATTCTTATGTTTATTGGGACATCTTGAATTATATCAGACAGTTATAGAAGAGATCGTAGAATACATTAACTTAAACATATTTTGTTAAAGTACAGATAGTGGGCAGTGCTAATTTATATAGATAGAGAATAGACAGTAGAACTGCTAGTTTAGGAGGACTAGGGTTTATATAGCTAGAGTATAGATAGTAGAACTGCTAGTTTAGGAGGACTAGGGTTTAAATAGCTAGAGTATAGATAGTAGAACTGCTAGTTTAGGAGGACTAGGGTTTAAATAGCTAGAGTATAGATAGTAGAACTGCTAGTTTAGGAGGATTAGGGTTTAAATAGCTAGAGTATAGATAGTATAACTGCTAGTTTAGGAGGACTAGGGGTTTGTTTAAGAAATCTTGAATATTCATTTTCCAGAGTTTTCCAGACACTTGGATCCAGTAGGACCAACTTCAGGTTTTCCAGAACCTTAGCACTAGACGGTGGGCTTCCAGATAATGCTGAAATATAAAATATAATAATTAGGATTAAATGGAATGCAAATTTAATTTTTACGTGACCCTCGAGTTACAGAATGACATGTACAATTCACAACGGTACCATAGAAACCTTTGTCTGATCAAGAATGAATGAGTTATCCATGTTTCTTTTCTTTAAGTTAGATTATTTTTAATTGGGATTTCTCTATAAGGGACAAGTGGATTTCCTCTTATACAAAAACAATGGGCCTTTTTTAAAATTTAAATGGAACAATAATACAATTATTTACACATTTTATTTATGAAGATTATATTAACCTTTCAAACAGCTGATGGTGTAAACATTAGATATTTCAAACTATTCTATCAAACAGAAAACAGAAAATATATAGGAATTATCAGATTTACCAACTTTTAAACTTATTAAACAACAATATATTAATTCCACAGTATTGATGAGAAAGGGACCGTTGTGAATCAGACATTGCCATCTTTACATGAAGGTTCACTTGCAATTACGCTTAATACAATTGCTAAGTTTGGGGGAAAGGACTTTTTTTTTTTTGGGGGGGGGGGCTATTTTTCTAAGGTCCCTGAATAAAAATAAGCTTGTCCTCCAACAACGTCATATAAATTCTGCATCTCTAGATTATCTGGAAAATTATAATGATAATTTAGGATAATATATATATTAAATCTGATTATCCCGGAAGTATCATCCTTATCATGCTCTTCTGTGTTTACGTATTCAAATATATGTATTTTTCTGTTTTATTCTTAAAGTTAGAATGGGATTTTTTGACAAATGATAAAACCAATTTATTTTAATAGTTTTTAAAAATTAGTTTTTATTTTACCTGCCCTGGTTCCCCTCGCTCCTGAGGACTTGGAGATATAGGATTCTAATGATTGAAACAAATCTTCTCGGAGCTCAAGATCCGATACAGAAACTCCTCCCTCCTCCAGGTACTCCTAGATATACAGGATATATATATATAAAGATACTCAAAGTACTCCTAGATATACAGGATATATATATATAAAGATACTCAAAGTACTCCTACATATACAGGATATATATAGATACTCCTACCTCCTCCAGGTACTCCTAGATATACAGGATATATATATAGATACTCCTACCTCCTCCAGGTACTCCTAGATTTACAGGATATATACAGATACTCCTCCTGCTTTAGGTACTCCTAGTTATACAGGATATATACATATACTCCTCCCTCCTCCAGGTACTCCTAAATATACAGGATATATACAGATAACCCTCCGTCATCAAGGTACTCCTAGTTATACAGAGCTGGGAACTTTTGAATGGTGGATATCAGGATTAATGCTTGATCCACTCTTTTTCTTAATCTCCAGATTTAATAAGGCTTGTTCTCCTCTTTATAATAATCTCTAGATTAATTTACCGATCGGGATTAAGGATATCCCATTCTAAAGTTTTCAGCTCAGGATATACACATATACTCCTCCCTCCTCCTGGTACTCCTAAACATATAGGATATATAAGATACTCCTCCGTCCTCCAGGTACGCCTAAACATACAGTATTTAAATAGATACTCTCCCTCCTCCGTATTGGTGTTTCTTGCCCCCTTTGTCACTAATGTATTATTTAATCTCAAAATATTTCACATCTACTTAGTAGCAACGCATACACCTCAACTCGATGACCCCATTTTTTTTTGGGGGGGGGGGGGCAAGAAACATCTACAGCCCTCCTCCACGTACTCCTAGATATACAGGATATATACAGATACTCCTCCCTCCTTCAGATACTTCTAGATATACAGGATATATACAGATACTCCTCTTCCTCCAGGTACTCCTTGATACATAAAGATAACTTCTGGTTATCCAAACCTTATGCTTTAGTACCTTGAGAGGATTGAGTGTATCCTGGTGGTCTAAGTCCTGCTATATTGTATTCTAGTACCTTGAGAGAGTTTAGTGTAGCCTGGTTGTCTAAACCATGCTATATTGTATTCTAGTACCTTGAGAGAGTTGAGTGTATCCTGATTGTCTAAACCCTGCTATATTGTATTCTAGTACCTTGAGAGAGTTGAGTGTATTCTGATTGCCTAATTCATGCTATATTGTATATTCTAGTACCTTGAGAGAGTTGAGTGTATCCTTGTTGTCTAAACCCTGCTATATTGTATATTCTAGTACCTTGAGAGAGTTGAGTGTATCCTGGTTGTCTAAACCCTGCTGTAGAGCAGATCTACAAACAAGAACGAATTCAAGCAACTGTGTTCTCCAAATCTAGAATTAAATATTTTTATATGTAAAATGTATATTCTCCACTTTCAATCATAAAAATACATATAAACACGACTTTAGAAACCCACCATACTGCTTGGCTGTACTTGCAGTACAGTTATAAAAGATGTTTTTCAAGTTAAAATCTGAAAACATGAAGCCCCGTAAAACGCCAAAATTCTAATTACTAAAAACAATTCTACGAAATACATACATTAACAATTTTCCTTTGTGGCTATTCGAATCAAACTAATATCTTTGAATTTAATTGTGACATTGAGACAAATTTAAAAAAAATTTTCAAGCATTTTTCACAAAAAGTGATAGAAAATATAAAATGAGAAATCAAACAAGATGATTGTTTCAAAAATGCTAAACTTAGATTAAACGAAAGCTTGGAGAAAACGATAATTAATAATAATAATCTTTAAATATTTTAATTATTCTAAATATTTCACGGAATATTTGAGCAATTCTGAGAGAAAACATTACCCATAGAAAACGTTTGTTTTCAATGGGGGGGGGGGCAGGGGGGGGGGTTTGACATATTTGAAAATTATCTTTTGAATTATGTTGTTTTGTACATGTTAAATTATAAAATAACATATTATTAAAGTATAGGATATAAAAAGAGGAAGGTGTTTCTTAACACACTTTTATGAAAATCATGTGAAACAATAATTTTCAAGAAACTCAATCTAATTTAGAATTAGACTACAGTGTTTACAATATTTAATTAGGTTCAAACAAGTAAAATATCTTTTAAAATTATCAATTAAAGTTACCTGGTCTGTTCTTTCATCCATGGAAATTAAGCTTGATTTAAACTTTTCCAGCCAGTAGGTACTGTCTTGACTTTCCTAACAATACAATATATTTAAACTTTCCTAGCTAGTAGGCACTATCTTGACTTTCCTAACAATACAATATATTTAAACTTTCCTAACTAGTAGGTACTATCTTGACTTTCCTAACTAGTAGGCATTTTCCTAACAATACAATATATTTAAACTTTCCTAACTAGTAGGCACTATCTTGACTTTCCTAACAATACAATATATTTAAACTTTCCTAACTAGTAGGCACTATCTTAACTATCCTAACAATACAATATATTAAAACTTTCCTAACAAGTAGCACTATCTTGACTTTCCTAACATTAAAATATATTTAAAATCATTCACCACAAAAATTCATCATTAGAAATTGTGATTAGTGAAATAAAAAACAAGTCTCTTGAATTATTTTGAAATAATTCCATGCAAACCAATGGAAAATGAAAATGATATCTTTGATCAAATCCAGCAAATGGAAATAGTTTTAAGTAAACATGTTGATTTATTTAACGTAATATGTTTCTAATTAAGTTCTAAAGGAAAATTGAACTCTAAACTTCTAACCAAAGAGAATAGAATATATATTAGAGGGGAATTTAGACAATCTCTTGGTATGCATTTTTGAGTCCCTTTCAGCCTGAAAGGGAGTTCAAAGTGTACAAATCATCTAAATGTTCACAAATTATATGCAGTAGAGTACATTAATACAGTATGTTTCCTAGACTATCCATTTCAATTTCGAATTTTTTAAAGCTGTTAAATATACTTTACAAAATGAATTAGGTGAATAAAAACATCAATTGATTTATAGTTATAACGGAAAATCATCGTTTGTAAATTGAAAGGCATAGAGTCTACGTAAAATGATCATTGGTAAATTATGAAACCAGCCTATTTAATAATTTGGTTTTCTTTCAATATTAATTTTAGATTTTCTTTAAAATGATGTTCCAGGGTCCAAAAGGTTATATAGCGCAAATATGTGAAGTACACCTGCAGTATGGAAACAGTACAACAAAATGGCCGTTTTACGCTTTTTTCCAGTAAATTCCTCTCGAATATATATTCTATTCTCTTTGCTTCTAACCCTTATTTCTTTTTAATTCGTGAAATATCAGAGGTCTACGATGTTAGTATGAAAATATAACTAGGAATTAGAAAACTAGGAATGCTTGGATCCATTATAAAAAAATTACACAAAAAGAGAATAATGACGTAAGTTAGAGTGGCATGTCCGATTCACAACGGTTGGTTTGTTTTTTCTTATATTTTCTTTCATAGTCAACATTTAAAATATTATAAGAAAAGAAAATGTTTTTCAAATTGTTTTTATAAACATTCGCTTTTCTTACATAATGCAAAAAACGAACCAAAACAATCAAAAACAAACTTGCTATAACGTTATTTAAAGGATAAAAATATTGCAAAGTTTATTAAAGCTAAAAAGCTTTTTACAGAATGAAGTTTTGAGACCTCGAAAGTTTTGTTACAAATTTTGAAAAGCAAAACCTCGTAAAATAGATTATTTCAATTGATTTTCTTTAAAAAATTTGCTTGCAGATCTATACAAAAGGAAACAGTAATAAAAATTGTCCGAATTTAGCACTTTTTGATAAAACTCGATTATATCTTTCTAACTGTTACTCATATAAATATTGAAAGAATACCGAGGTACCACTTTGTAATTGACGCCTAACCGAAATTTATTGAATGAAATTTATTAAATCTCCATCAGAGATTCTATTTTAAATTATTTTTTGTTTTTACCTTTTCATAATTGTTGAGTAGAGTTGAGAGATCTGGAGGAGGCAGAATAGAATTCTAAATATATTTGGTTATAATTAATAATTATCACATTAAATAATTAAGCATGAGGTAAAGTTTCTGTTGAGGAAATTTGAGAGAAAATTTTAACTCTAATTAGATCTACATTTTTAACAATATTTACTATCTCACACCACTTTATTAAGAAAATCTTCAGAGGAGAAACAGGGTGGGGGGGTGGGGTCAATTTAATACTTTGTTGCACATAATATTGTACAGATTGTGTTTTTTTTTTAAAAAGTGAAATATAATGTTAAAACTTTGCATGAAGTCATTTAATAGGCTCAAATTTAGGACCCCGGGCCCCAATTTGATCTTTGTTGAAACCTTTAATTTAAAAAAAAAAAACTTTTTAAGTTGGTCTGGCAGAATTCATGGTTTGAAATATCATATGGTCTACGCAAAGATATAGCTAATATTTAAAAAATACCTTACGCGGCGATGATAATTGAGAGCAGTAGCTTCCCATATTTAAACACTTCATTCCTTTTCATTTAATAGTTGAGGTAAAGTGTACACTGGTATTGCACATTTCTTCACATTTCGTGGATTTGAAAGTAAGTTTTCGCGGATTTAAAACTTTTCAGGTTTTGTTTTCTTTGGTATAAGAACTTTTTTTCACTTGAAGGACAACCTTTTCTATAGGGTAGACTTTGGTTTACATTTTTGTGATTTTTTCTATTGAATCATAGCGTAACGTATCGAGAATTCCTAAAGGTTTAAACTTTTTCTTGTTTCATGGGTTTCACGATTTTCACTAAATTCTAAGATTCACTGAGTTGTTATCAAGCCGCATGACTTCTCTTGCATTCTTAATTGTTCACTTTATTAAAGCTTATTGGTGAATATCAGAGGTGTTCAGGGGTTTTTGAAGGTTTCCAGAGGTGTTCAGAGGTTTTTAAAGGTTTCCAGAGGTGTTCAGAGGTTTTCGGAGATTTTCATAGGTTACTGAAGTTTTTCTTGAGGTATCTGAAAAAACAGCATTAATAATTTGTTTAAAAATAGAACTATTAATTTTTCAAAAGATATTCATAAAAATATAGATATTACTTTTTTTATACAACTATTCTACGAATTTTCCATTTTGACGATAAAGTTTATTGAGACGTAATTTTTAGAAATCGTGAAGTTAAGTTTAGAAAATGATTTAAATTTTTGAAAAATTTCTCTTTTAATTCAGTTAAATTGGTTTCTGATTAAATTAAGAATTTATTGAATCTTTTAAAAATATTAGATTATTCCGTTTTAATTTTATGAAAATCCAATTATTTCTGCAACATAATCTTTCTTTGTCACATACAATGCGTCCCATATCATATTAGATTATCTTCAAGCTTTAACGCCAAAATACGCACAGAATACCCAGAGATTTTTCTTGTATTTTCTGAATGCAAATTTTCAAATAAGATTTTTACTAATTTTAGAGCTTATAATAATTTAGTTTGCGAGATAAAGTGTTATAATAAATAAATACTAAAATCTTTAAAAAAGAAAAGTTATGCAATATTTGAATTAATTGTACATTGTTCATTATTCTAAGAAAATGGAAAACTTAAATTTGTAGTTTTACTACTAAACCTCCTTGCCTCCCCTATATACGCAATTGAAAACGGATGGCATGAACTCCTTATAATCAAGCATAATAGAGTTTTTTTCAAGCTACTCTATCTAGTATTTATGTATGTAGAGTTGGGGACTTATTACAACATAATGTATACTATTATATTCTTTTGTTCAATAGAAATTATATATATTGTATACATTGAATAATGAATATTTGCAATATTCAATATCTAACTAATTATATCATAATTCTGGTTTATAATTTCATAAAATATATGTTACATAACGTAGATTTAATCTGTTTATTTGCTGATGACTTTATTCACTGTGATCTTGCCAGGCTACATTTGTTGCATACAACGTGCTGGGTCGACCCTACAATGGGTAGTCCAGACTGGATGGTACGACTGAATGCAAATACTTTACATCGCTGAATAGGGAAAAATTAATGATTTTTTGGGGAGAAAGTGTAAAATGGGGGAGGGGCTTGCCTTCAAATGTCCAATTTAAATTTGTCCCCCAGAGCTTAGAAAATGTTATTCTTGAAAATAATAATAATATGAGATTACAACACTCACATTTCATTATTCCATGTTTGTGTAAAGTTTTTTATTTAAAAAAAGAAAAGATGTTGAAGGTTTGGAGAGTTTCGATAATTTAGACTTTAAAGATTTATCAGAACTTTTTAAAAATCAATCAGACCGGGCTAGTTCGACTTTTCCTATTTTATGTTGACCTCGATATAAACATTTAATTAAAGGACGGGTTTCTTCTAGTCTCGAAGGGTTGTTTGGCAATATCTTGAGTTGATAGGGATTAACGGCGAAATTTGAATATTTTTGACTTAAATTCACTCATTTCATGCGAAAATTTAAAGGTTTTGAATAAACGTATGATCAATTCAGTTTAGCCAACGTGGCTGATAAGCGTAGAATAAAGCATATATAACATTTTATTAAAAAAACAGGTATTTTCTTAAAAAATAGGATAAAGTTTTGAGAGCTTTAGCTTAGCTTTTATTCTCGCATAAACACATAATATGCGTCAAATCACAGGAATAGACGCGAACTGCGTAGTTTACGAGTTTGGGATGAAATCTCTTATATCTGAGATCCATCGGTGATCAATTTTCTTATTGGGAAGGGACTGACAACGTAACTTTATGTGACATTCTATTTACAGAGTTGCACACCCAATTCACAGCAAAATTTTAGATATTTTTTAATTCTTTTTTTTTAAATATGAAAATTTCCGGGTTATGTTTCTCCTTGTATCTCTTGTTTATAGCTTAACACAGTTTGTCTGGTGTTCGAACATGCATAGAACTAAGAACTTCAATTTTAACTTTGAACACTTGTTCAGTCTAAATGAAATAAACCTAAAAATCATCAATTATTACTCAGTTAATCAGACAATAAACAGCACTCCCTTTTTCTTTCATTCATGAAAATTTAAATATAAATTTTCTTTTTAATATTTTAATTTAAATACAGATTACTGAATGGTAGAACTAAAATACATAAAGAATTTCCATAGCTCACACTAGTAACTTCGATTAATGAGTATAACGTATAGCTATATCAGGCGTGCATTCTACCAAACGTTGTTAGTTTTATTTACAGGTTTTGTCTGTACATAAGAGTTTAAGAAGCTTCAATATAATTCTGATACCTTTCTTGAGCCCTCAGGATAACTATCAGAGGATTTAAAGAACTTCATCACGTTTAATTTTCTAATCTTTATATATTTACACAACCGGATGTCATGAAGGACAATTGATATTTCAAACAACGAATTCTGTCAGCTCAAACAGTAAAGTTTGAAATATTAAAGGTTGAAAATATTTAGAAATTAGAAAATTACAGTTTGTGGAGAGTAATCAGTTATTTTGTTCTTTTTATTTGAAAACTGGACATTTTACATCAGACTTATAATTAATTCTTTAATAACTGCACTCAATTGAAAGTCATGTATAACTCCTAAAAAATATTAGATATATTGCAGAAACATGAAACATAGAATTGACAAAGATATTGTAAAGAAAAAAATGTGTCACATTTCAAGAAATACCCGAGGCACGTCAAGGTAAAGTAAAATTTATGGAAGATTTTAAATCTGCAATCCTAACTCCACTTGTTGAAAAGCTATTGAGAAGAATGAAAATGTTTTGAATTTCAAAACTCGAGGATCTACGAGGTCATAAAGTCGCCGCTGTAACGTCGCATGAATTTTATATTCTCCTTCTGTTAAATTTGCAATGGTAGAAAAAGAAAAGAATTACATTTTTTAATTAAATGTTTCTGAAATGGTATATCGTTATAACTATAGATTATTATTGATTATTAACCTGACATTATCTGCAGTTGTTTATGGATGCACATAGGCGCAACCAGATATATCTATATATTTATTTTGGCTTCTTTGCATGTAAGTATACCGTTAATTATTTAGATTGTGTGTCTTACTGAATCATAAGTTCGGTTTCGATCACAATTTGACCTATTTTATCAAACATACATTTTTCAAAATTTGACCTATTTTATCAAACATACATTTTTCACAATTCGACCTATATTATCAAACATACATTTTTCACGATTTGACCTATTTTATCAAACATACATTTTTCACAATTTGACCTATATTATCAAACATACATTTTTCACAATCTGACCTATTTTATCAAACATACATTTTTCACAACTTGACCTATTTTATCAAACATACTTTTTTCACAATTTGACCTATTTTATCAAACATACATTTTTCACAATTTGACATATTTTATTAAACATACATTTTTCAAAATTTGACCTATTTTATCAAACATACATTTTTCACAATTTGACCTATTTTATCAAACATACATTTTTCGCTTTTTTCTTTTAAACTTTTTTGTCTTTGGGTGCGTTTAAGATGAAGACGACAACTTTGTAAATTTAAAGATGGTTGAAATATAAATCAAAATTCAATTGAATTTGACTGAAAAAAACGAACGCAAATAGCCCTGAGACCGAATTTTAAAAATTTGAGCCACGTCTTATATTTAAGCCGCAGCTCAAATATGGTTGGTTCCACTTAAAATTGTATTAAATTTTTCAAGATTCAAGCCGGCGCTCAATTGAAACTGGTTTTGGGAGGATTTGAGACGCGGCTTAAATTCATTAAATTCGGACACTGGTTAGTCTAAATTTGTATGTTTACGAAATAAGAAAATTAAGTAATGGAATAGAACCATAAAGCAGATAAATTGCGCCTGGGAAAAAACATTTTACTCTTTCAATTTACGTCCATTTCATGAATGATTAAAGAGAGTTTAGAATACCAACGTATTTTGTTAAAAGTTCATTAAGGTTTATTATCCTACAAAGATCCAATTTCAAAGACTTCTAGTTTCAGCGCACAAAAACATAAATTAATAATATTTATAAAAACTAATTTAAAATTGTTAAACTACGGTCGAAAGAGGAATGCCAGAAATTATCAAGTCAAGTTTCACGTCAATCTATAAAGTAAATTGCAGGTAAGTTGTAAATCTAATTTATGTTTTTAATTTAATTCAAATGTGAGTATATCCAACGTGGAGTGGATTCTCAGAATTTCAAAAAGTTATCTCCAAAATTGAGATTTTTGTAATATTTGTAAAATCCACGTAAAAATATTATTAAATCTACGAAACTTTTTTGATTTTGTTTTTACAAAGAGAAGATCCTCACAGCCACAATGAAAAGTTGAAATAGAAGATGGGTGCGAAGCGCCCTAAACAAAGCCTTGTTTTCATAAAACTTATCAGTTACAATATGTTAGATAAGAGACACTAAAGCCTTGTTTTCATAAAACTTATCAGTTACAATATGTTAGATGAGAGACTGTAAAAGAATGATAAAATATAAGTTTTATTTCATTTATTTTTTCTGCTCTAGAATAGAACTAAGAGGTGATAATTTCCTTTCCCTAATTTATTCATAAAAATTATAATTAATTTTCAAAAACATAATGTACAACTTTCATTTGTTAAGTGTTACCTAGTTCATTCTTAAAAATTTTGATTAAAATGTTCATTTTGAAATGTTGAAATATTAACAGAAGGTTTAGCTTCAAGAACTACCCCCTAGCCCCTACTCCCTACTCCCTACTGGGTGAATATGAAAGTGCAGAAGAGGAGAGTATATGGAGGCAAATGAAAATACATTAAAGGTGGAAGAAATCAAGAAATAAATGTAAATGATGATAACAGGAAAATAAAAGTAAATATGAGTACTGCGGACTACCCAGGCAAGTATACCAAAAATACAGACGGAATAATATTAGTATAGAGGCAGATGAAATATCATAAAAGGCGGATAGTTATTAGTGAAAAAGTCGGGAGTACGATCATTTAGGCGAATAAATATACAATAAAAAAG